TGACTCTTTTCTGCCATCCTCAGCCTCTTCCCTTTCTGTAATTTTTAAGGTTGTTAATATCCTCTCCATTCCCCTTGTTGTGTTATCATTCTTACAGTGAAATAAGCACTCTAAAACAGTTTACTATGGGCTGTTTTACATACAGAGTACAAATCTTAGGATTGCCATTTGACAAGATGCCATAGATAAGTCCTGCTTTCTGGCAAATTTGCCTCCTATGATGCATGCTGACTCCAACCCTACTTGCAGCATTTGCACTTAGCTTTTTACCGGGGTACTTGAAATATATGGTAGGTGAAATAGTCCTGGCTCTTTTGAGGTCTATAATTGTTTTTTTTTTCAAGCAGTTATTACATACTACTTTATGATATATTGAGTAGACCTTTGGTCTAGATGGGCGGGATAGAAATCAAATAAATGAATTGCATTTAATGAGCATATATGATTTTCCTCTAGCCTGCTTTAATGTCACCCCAACCAGTGAGGTAAGTCAGGATCAGAGACTGAGGTTCTGAAAGCCACCTGGTCAGTCCGTTGTCTTGGTAAGGATTGAAATGTGGTTATCTGAAGCCTCAGTCAAGTGCTAACCATTATATAGTGTCCAAACTATGTAGCTTACATTGAAGAGTCCTTGAAAGACAATTGTAGAACTGCATAATTTTCTATTAATTGCTTGAAATCAGTCGAGTTTGAATGGGGGAAAGTCTGTTCTTTAAAAGTAATCTAGCAAATTAATATGAGTTGCCACATTCTGAAACATGACAGTTGCCCCTATGCATGTCAGCTATAGTACAGATAAAGTCCAAGTCCTGGCCACTTCTCAAAGATTTGACAACTTGTACTTTTGGAGATCTTAGGCTGAATGTTGATTGGTTTTAGAATAAAATTACCTCCCATTCACGGAATTGATGGTTGGTGTTCACATGCAGTAATCTCTGGCAATCTTGAAGATACAGAGTCACTGTAAACCCACACAGCAGCTGAGTTCCTCTTTCAGAGGTGATCACACCAACTCTCCTGTGTCGGGTTGGGCAGAATTCCTCAGGCAGGTTTCTATTGTATGATAAAATACCAGCCTGCAAGTATACTTGCATGCAGAAACCTGATACACTCGATTCGCTCATACCCAAAAGCTTGCCGGTGTCTTGAAATGGATTAAACAAGGCACATACAGTGATGTGGGACAGGGAAAAAGAATCACAGGGCTTAAGTTTTCTAGAGAAAATCCATCATATATTGTTTCATAATACCTTGTTTCCCTGAAAATAAGACCTAACCTGAAAATAAGCCCTAGTATGATTTTTCAGGATGCTTGTAATATAAGCCCTACTCAAAAAATAAGCCCCAGTTAAGTGAAACCCCGTCCTCCACCATTGTGCAGCAACCAGAATAAGATAACATGACTGTAAAATAAAACATCCCCTGAAAATAAGCCTTAATGTGTTTATTGGAACAAAAATTAATATAAGACCCTGTCTTATTTTCGGGTAAACACTATTCTTTAGTATCAGTTTGTGGCCAGAATCCTGTTGTATAACTGCATGGACTTAACTTGACATTGTGGCCACAGTAGCTACAATAATGCCAAGTAGAAATTCTATCCGGGAAGCATTTCCATCAGCTCCTTATGCAATCAGTCACAATGGGAACCAAGTGACCGACTGCGTAATTGACTTGTACAATCTTCCTTGACTGGGCATAATGTCTGTCAAAGGCATATTACACCACAGCAAAATGGATTACAGCTCATGGATAGCAACATAATATTAGGCAAGTGTGATAGATTCGGGTTTGCTTTAGCAAAAGACAAGTGCAAACTAGAAATTGAGATTAAAAGGCAAGAAGCTCTTCACGTGCAGTGGAGTGGATGGGGCTTCCAACACAACAAAAAGCTCTGCCATAGAAAATTCCATAATGTTCTGTGCAAGTGTAGAGAGCCATAGGTGTAAGATGCCTCATAACCAGTTGAGGATCAACAAAAAGAAGCAATCTGTCCCCATCACTACACACACACACCATGTTCATTTCACTTTCCTTTTCCTTCCAATAGACAAATTTGCAGTGGTCCTAAAGTGGTCAAAATGAACTGGATTCAAAATGTAGCAGCTTAGCTGTCTGCATCTGCCAGTTCAGCCGTTTCTGCAATAAAAAGAACCCCAACCTGCACAAAGAGAGGTTTCGTTCTTTTTTTTTCATATTTCTTAATTTTTTTCATTTTCTGTTTCATTCAAACAGACATATTTCTAGCCACTTGCAGGATGTCTAAAGCCTGCAGTAGGTCTAGTCGTCTTTTCTAGTCTAGCCTTTAGGGTAAGGGACTGTACAAATCATCCCACCTTCATTTGACTCAGTTGGACAATGGTTTTACTCCAAGCAGCATTACTTTTCAAACATAAACAATGAGAGACTAACCTATTTGTGTGTTGTTGCACAGTCATAGGAATTGGTTACTGTAATCTCAGTACAATAGCTACCTTGTAACTGCTGACAAGGTGCAGAACCTAAAGGCAGACTACACAAGTAAAGTGTTACGCTAAAAATGTGTAACCAGAGGTGGGCAACTTCAGCTACCTAGTATTATTGTTTTGAAAAAGGTATAGATTCTTTTCCTTCTAGGGAGGGGGATTATGGGCTGACATTTATTTTATTTATTAATTTAAAGAATTTTTATCCTGCCTTTCTCCTAAAAAGGGACCCATGGCTAAAGGCATATAAAAACTAACGTTTTAACAAGTAAACTTCCTGTTAATGTTAACATAATTTTTTACTCTTAAAAAAAGTCTTTTAAAATATACTTTGGGTTTAGAGCCTTTTCATGTGTTAGTCAGAAGTAATGAGTCTAAGCACAGAGTGCTGTCCTCTGAAGATGCTGGCCACAGAGACTGGCGAAACGTTAGGAAGAACAACCTTCAGAACCCGATCAAAGAGCCCGAAAAACCCACAACAACCATTAGTCTAAGTTATTACTAAGGAAGTTAACATTCACATGTTAGCTGTATCAGATTGTTTCCAAGTTCCCTTAAATATTTTATTTATTTATTTATCTATTTAACTTATATGCCGCCCACTCTACCCAAAGGTCTCTGGGTGGCTTACAACAATTAAAATTCAATTAAAATACAATAAAAGATAAAATGATTAAAATACAATTAAAATTGCCATCAGGACCTACAGTTGATGTTATTTCAATTAAAAGCCTTCTGGAACAGGAAGGTTTTGACCTGGCGCCGAAATGTCATCAATGTCGGCGCCAGACGAATTTCAGTCGGGAAGGCATTCCATAGTCTGGGGGCAGCTGCCGAAAAGGCCCTTTGTCTGCAAGCTCATACAAATATGTTTGTTTGTTAAAACAAACAAACAAAAAAGTTTTGTTGTACCTTTAAGGCTAACAAATTTATTTCAGTGTACACTTTAATGAACAGTAGTCAATATCTCTCCAGACTCATCTGAAGACAGATGAAAGCAGCAGGTTCATATGACAACTTTTTTTTTAAAAAAAGCAAATTCTGTTCTGGGCTGCATGAACAGTGAACGGAAGTATAGTGTCCAGACCATGAGAAGTAGATGGTTTCCTCCATTCTGTCCTGGTCCGACCTCACCTGGAGCGCTGTGCCTTCTTTTGGGCAATACCATTTTAAAAGTCTAACAGCAAAATGGAAGATGTCCGAAAGATGCTGAGGGACCTAGTTTGGGCACACACAGTTCATGCAAATTTCAGAAATAATGATGGGAAAAATAGCCCTTTTTGTCTAAGCAGGGCTTTAAATTTTCTCTCTGAGTTAAGAGATCAGCAAGAACAAAGAGTTTACCAAGCGTTTTGTTTCCTCCCCGTGGCTTTATTACTGACATCTCCCCTAGGTGGAGCTCTATAACCAAGCATGGCTCCTAAGAGCAGCAGACTTGTGGCAGGCATTTCTTTGTCCAAATTCAGTTGGCTTCTGGAGAAACTTTCAGGCTGTGGAGCTGCAAAATATATATTTATCATTCCAAGTGATAGCCGGCTGGATAGCTCAGTGGTTTAGGTCTCTGATTGGGGAGCCAGCGGTTGAGGGTTCAATTCCCCACTGTGCATCCTGAGAAAATTGTTGCAAGCCGCCCAGAGACCTTTGGGCAGAGTGGGCGGCATATACATAAAATAAAATAATAAACAAGAGCCAGCCTGTGTATCCTTGGGCAAGCTACAAAGTCTTTGGACACACACACACACCCAAAGAAGGAAATGCTAAACAACTTTTTAGTATTCTGTACCAGGAAAACCCTAAAAAAGGTTGCCATATGTCAGAATTGATTTAACAGCACATGATGATTATTATTGCAAGTTTCAAAAAAAACTATTCAAGGTACTGGAAGGAACAAATACTGCATTATAAAATGTAACATAGTCCATTAAGGATTGAATTATCGTATCATGGTTGCTGGGTCACCATTATGTTTTGTGTCAGAGAACTATATGGTTGCTGCAAAGTATTCTTTGCACAAAGTATTCATGTCACAAAATGCCTTTATTTTTTTAGCATTTTGGTCTTTCTCTTCAACCCACATATTCTCTTGGAGTATCTTATAAACAATAAATTGAAAGAAAGTCGGCCCCTGCTTACAGGCTTGCAATCTGAAAAGACACATCACAAAAGGGAACAAATGGGAATGAAAGTGGAAAAAAAGAAGTATGTTTTTATTTAAAAATGGAATAGCCTGCTATCTGTTTCATTTCCCTCTGTACACAACTTTTTGAATTTCTAAAACATTGATTAAAGGTTCATGCGTGTATATTACAAATTATGTATATAATAAATGGCAATGTACATTGTTCACAGTTTCCAGCTGGGTTTCTGCCTTTTGACTCAAAAGAATATGGGGTTGACTCACCAAATCCTCACTGCTTCAATGGCCATACTCTAGTTAGTAGAACTTACTAAGCTAAGCAACCTTTCAGCCAATAATTCTAGGAACCTGAAAGTACAATGGCCTTATCTTCAGCCATTAAAAACATTTTCCCCTACTCTGAACCACATGGTCACTATTTCTGTAGATATTCTGATTTTACATACTTTCTCCAAAGTACTTACGAATTTTTCCCATTTGTGCATCTTCTTCAGGCTTATATTCCTCAGAAGGAAATATTTAACAAGTGAAGAATCATGCAAATGTATGGTGCCTATAACATGTTAGACTTGTGAATTTTTTAATCTTGTAACTACAAGCAGATGGGGAACTGGGCTTGCACAGTAGTTACACTCATGGGGCCCTTTGGCCAAAAAGACAGGAAAAAATGGTTGCGGAAGAGGCATTTCTAAACTTAGAAGAATTATCTTAAGGAGAAATAGGGATATAGAGGCTACATACCTTACCTTGGACTGTAGGACCTCTAACTTCACCTTTCTTGCCTTGAATTGCTAAATTTAAAACTAAATTCAAAACCAATTCAACTACTTTTTCTGATTCAGTTTTGAGATGTACGGCATACAGAGACAAAAAAAAAGCATGGGGGCTGGAGTTCATGTTGTGTGCCTGTGCCAGTGGGTCACCAGGCTGCTTGAATAGGTCTGAACATGATTTTTCTTTTTCATGTACTGCCTGCTTTTGGAGTAGATTGATTCTCTGTTGCCTTTTCCCCCCTTTTTTTTTTTTTTTTTTTGGAATATTACCTATTTTTAGAAATCTGTTGCCTTGCCCCTCATTTTGGAGCAAATGAAACGAAATGACTGGAAAGAGATGCTCCTTTTCCTATAAAATGAAATAACATGAAGCAAACAAAAATGATAAAAGCATTTCCTGAAAGAAGTCAAAACCGAAATTAAAGTTTTTGCCATCTGCATCCCTGGTGGCAAACCCTAGTTTATCATCCTGCAGCATTGTATAGGCAAAACACCTTATCTCTGTCCCTGAAGGTGCATATTGCTGTACACTTGAATTGTCAGTGAGTGAAGGTTCATCCGAAGTGGAATCAGTCTATGTACAAAGTTATAGCAAGCCAGGAGAGTACTTTTGCAGAAAATTACATCATTAATAGGAGTATTTCAGATAGTGGTTGAACTCATGACTGAAATTCTGAATGTATATCAAATCCAGCCTGGCATGGTGCATGATAAAGTACTTTTAAAAACTTTTCTCTCTTTTCTCTAGGTTTCAAGCAATTTTGCATAGATACTCCATGGCACAGATGTAGATTCATCAAGCAGCACCTAAAGAGATAGGTAAGTATGAGTTGCTAGTTGAGAACTAACTAAATCCAATGTAACTCAAATACAAATCATAAACATTTGTTGGAAACATCTCCTTGCATCATATGATCAGTTGTGCTGACCTAGTTTTGCTTTTGTTTCATCTTGCATAAGACCAAAGAATCACCGTGTTCCATGGAAGTGAGTTGAATTATGGAAATAATGAAGTAGCTGTATTAATTATGTATACCATTTCATACCTTGGGTTGACAAGGGCATAGTGGTGGTTGGTTTATGAAAATAGTTTAGCAGCTAGTGATGTCTGTGTAATCTGTTTTTCAGCATAAAAAGGGAAGAATTGCTCCTTTCTGATCATTGCTTTGGAGGAGCATTTTGGGGTTGTTGTTCTTTTCAAAATTATAAGCCGTTTTCTTTCTTACTGATTTTTTAAAAATCTAATGACAAAGTAACAAGTCACTTGAAAAGCTACTGAGAATGTATTATTTGTAATAGCTACTGGTGGGAGCCATAAAGAGTTGCATAACCAATTACTTAGTTAAATTAAGTGACCATGCTTTGCTAGTCCTGTGGTTTCCAAAGTAACAGAGTAAATTGTCAAGTCAAACCACTGGCCCATTGGTTCACCCTAGTGTACCGGAAGATGCCAAACACTTTCTGTGTTCAAAGCATTTTCTCTATCTCTGAGTTACAGTTCTTTGCTGAAACATGAGGCAGATCTCCTTCGCAGGCAGTTGGTGGATAAGACTAGAAAACACTTTTCAACTTTTCCAACTCCACTACATCTCAACAGAGCTTTTGAGTGAAGACTTTTGGTCCTTGTGTTGATTTATAGTGGCTGAAGACAATGTGAACCAGACTGTTCCTATTCAGCCTTGATGGACCCTTGGACTTGATTTGGAAATGTATATACAGTGGTGCCTCACTTGATGGGGATAATCCGTTCCAGCAAAATCGCTGTAGAACGAAATCGTCGTCAAGCGAAAGTAAAAAGCCCATTGAAATGCATCGAAAACCGGTTTAATGCGTACCAATGGGTGAAATACCTAAGCGTCCAGCGAAGATCCTCCATAGGGCGGCCATTTTCCAGTGCCTGTAATGCAAGGAATCCGTCCCAAAACACAGCGGGGAGCCATTTTGCACAGCAGGCGGCCATTTTGAAAACCTGCCAGTCAGCTGTTTTGATCGTTGTTAAGCGAAAAATCAGTTCCCGAAGCAGGGAACCGATCATCAAATGAAAAAAACCCATTCAATCATCATTTTGCGATCACAATAGCGATCGTAAAAAACTAGTTGTCAAGCGATTTCCTCGTCTAATGAGGTCATCATCAAGCAGGGCATCAGTGTAACAACTTGGACATGATTGTGGACATATTTTAAAGGCAATTTTTCTTTGGCAATTACTGATGAATCTTACAGTCCAAAAAACAAAGAGGGTTAAACCAGCATCAAACCAGTAAAATATCACAGACAGAAGCCAGCTTCCAACTCCTTCCTTAGACTGGATATCACTGAGTTAAAGGTGGTGCAAAAGGAACATAAAAGTCCCAAACATCTTGCCTAAGTCATGATAAACGTTATTTTCACTGAGCTAATGTTCAGCTTTTAAAATTAAGATGAGGATCCTAACTTCTTCGCTCACTGTCACTATAAAAAACAAAAAAAGGCTTCCAGCTTTTTTGTTTCCCAGTAGAATTCAGCGTCAGCTACAAATTGTTGTCACTTACCTTGAAAGCTCTATAGGGTCTCTGTAAATTGGTTCTGACTTGACAGTAAACAGACTGTTGGAATTTAGCTACACATTACACATGGATGCATGTCAGAGATCCCTAGAGCCTTTAGAAGGGAAATAAAATCCAGAAAGGAAGATCTGGAAGCAGTTCAGTGGTTATGCACTTCTTTCCCATCCGCTACTTGTCCAAACCCTTCCCTCATCAAAACCTTTTTGAAGCCCAACGTGTACCATATAGGTTAGACCTGAGATCACTGTGGCTGTAAAAGACATTAAAGACTAACATCAAGATGCTGCACCTATATTTCCTAATGTTGGTTTCTTTTGTCAATAACACGATGCTATAGAAACAAAGATCTTGGATTTTGGATCATTTTTGTTAATCCTTTTCTGCAAAACTGATATGGTCCCTTTTATTTTATTTTTTTTTTAAAAAAGAACCCACAACTGTTCCGTTACATTTGCAGTCTTAACATAAATCCTGCTTGAATATTAAACAGGGTTATCCCTGTGATGTAACCAGTCACCTGCTGGCTGATACTACTTTCCCCCTAAAAGCTGGAAAAGAAACAGCCTACTCGTCTGGCTTAATTTACTCAGATTTGCTAATAAATCAGTCTATTACCATCATTAGTAGCAGATGCAGGCTGTGTTGTAAAAACCAGAGACTTGCCTACAAACCACCCTCCCATCTGTTGTATTATACCCAATTCATCTTCTCATTCTTTCTGTGAATTTCTCATTTTATTTAGTTTTCAGTATTGTCTTAATTTCCCTCTTTTTGTGTTTGGGGGGGGGGGCGCAGGGGAGAATAGCAGAATTAAAGCATCTCGGTCCAGCAGTTGCAAGAGCAGCTTGTAATAGGAAGGGGTTGACTGTTTAGTCTGAAGTTTGCCTGAATACAAATCGGAGTACGGTCGCGTGCCAAAATCTGCTCTTTTCATAATTATGCGAGGCAGCTTGCAATTAAAAAAACGTGTTAGGGAAATTTGCACAAAAATTCACATCAGGAGGGGGTACGTACAAAAGGACATTATATTAAGTGTACAAAGAAGCGTAGATTAAGGAAAATGTGTCTTCACATTTTTCATGCAGATTCTCTTTCCCTTGCATTCTCAAAAGTAATACAGACCAAAACCTGAACTGACACATTCACTTATTGGGGTGCAGGAAGGGATTAATATTTTTGTTACAGCAGCGATCCAGCAGTATGGTACTGAAGTCTATAAAACAGATATCTAAGTAAATATTGCAATCAATACAGGGGTGGGCAACTTCCAGAGGTCTGAGATCTTAGACATCCTTAGCCCTGGAGCTTGGATGGCTGATTCTGTACTGTGTCCACCCCTTAATTTTTTTTTAAAAGCTTCTACTTTTTAAACTCTTAAAAGCCCTGTTGTGTCTTCCAGTGGCCAAAATGATTTTTTTAAAACTTACAGTTTTGAGAGGTATCATGTAGCCAGGGTTGCAGGGGAAAAATATGGCAAAATAGCCCTCATAGGAAACAAAGTGACTTCTTAACAATTACCAGAACAAGATTGTGTGGAGGGAGTGGGCAATGGGGACCCAGGAGTGCTGAGATGCCCACATTTTGGGGTTGTGGGGGGGGGGTGCGGCCAGCGGACAGACCATACTTTGCCCAGCCCAGCCTAAAGAGAATGGGACCTTGGTCAAGATGGTGAGGTCTTTGTTTGTTTGTTTTCATTTTTGTCCTGCTTGTGACCTTTTCCCTGCGGCATTTGGCTGACCACTAACAGGAGAAGAAGGCTGAACCGCTACTCTGATCCAGCCAGTCTGCTTTTACATTCTGAAAAGAGCCCTACTGCTGTCTTGAAGTATATAGAGATAACATCTCACGTTGTGATGGCTTTGGCTTGAAGCTGAGTTAAATTAGGCTTAAAAGAAGCCATCAGCCCGGTGGGATCCGGGCACTGTCTAGTAAGTTGCAGGTCAGACTGTTGAGCTCTCAGGCCGACCTCCTGTTCATCCAGACTGTGCTTCGGTTTCCATTGTCTACTCGGTTTGAGAGTTGCAGATCGGGTTTCAACATCTGGCACTGTTGGTATCAAATCTAATTTGCCTCTCGGCGGTGTTTTTTCTT